GGGTTAGTGGTCTGAATCATCATTTTGGAGTTTGAACAAATGTTCCATCTCCTGAGCTGGATTATTTTGGTAAAATTATTATATTGAGCCTGATATTCATACAGGTTTAATCTAAAAAGTTTATTTTAAGATAGTGTTTTTTCTTTGTATCAAATAGATTATCCGTGTGATTCATAACCTCTATGTAAATGTGATAACATCTCTACTAAAAATGTTCTGCTGAACGTCATCTGGAGTGCAAGGTGTTTGTCAATGGGATTATCATGCATGTATTTAAGGAAATGTTCTTCTTTTTAAGAAAGAAGTCATGATATTCTAATATTAGCTTTCATTCATTGGCTTTTTTTAGATAAGACTTTTTATGAATTGGATTTATTCTTGACTTCTGATTTTATATGGAGCATTGTGCCTTTTGGGAGTAGACCCAAAACTTTTGAAAAGATTGCTTGATGTTATCTGGTGGCGTGCCAAAAGTTTATCCAATTCCTAATAATTATATTTAAGGGAATTATAAATGTGTACTCATAAACACAATTATCAATACATTCAAACTAAAGTAAAGAATATAAAAGCTGATACACAGGGTAAAAAGAATGAAATTAGCTTCAATATTTTGATCCAGTTTCCATTGCACTTTGAGCTTTGATGTTGGTATGGTGATACAGGAAGGACACCCAAACCTCTGGGACCTCTGAGATTCAGGGGCTCATTTACACTGACATGACAGCCTTCAGTTGCATCAGCCCCACAGCAGCTAAACACCACATGGCATTGATCTGGCTTAACACAGGTCTGATCCAGCTTAATGCAGCCTTGCCCTGGGTAAAGCTGAGTTGGGGGAAAGCCAGAATCCTGACCCAGGATTTGGTATTTCACACGACTTTTGGGCTGTCAAGACAGTTGGGCTGATTCCCAATGGGAACCAATCACAGCTATCTTCCTGTCATTCATAGGACATCATAAAGCCCTGGCGAAGTGTGCCGTTTCGCCAAGTTTCTGGGGAGGAAAGAGGGTGCAGCAGGGCAAATCTGTCTCCCTGCACGCAGCTCCCTCTCAGCAACACTTTCCCTACATTGTTATTGTTGGGAGGCCCAGTGCTGGCATTGGAACCAGCACAGCACGGGAAGTCTCCTGTGTTGCTGGATAAGTAACCTGTGACGTTTTCACCCTGGTTGGGGCATGGCCTGTGCCAGAAATCACACGATGTCGTGTGATGTCCGGCGTTGGCCTTCATCCTCCAGACAGGGTGAAGGCATCCAAGGATGCTAAAACCACCCCCTCTGATGAGGCTACTTGTCATTGTACCTTCACCTCATTTAGTTTACTCGTTCGCACTCTGGCGACAGTCGGAACATGTGGAAGGGACAACAGGTAGGGTAGTTGCCTAGTGGCTGTGAATCATGTTCAGCGTAACTGGACAGTCGGGACTCCCTCCCACCTCAAATACAGTTGAGGGAGTCCCTGTTGCACTCCAGTACAGGAAAAGCCCTCTGACTGTAAACACCACACAGTTGATTGGAAAACAATCCTTTTATTGAAGATAGTTAAAAACCAACAAGTAAAAAGCACTTTAAAGAAATAGGTAAATCCAATTAGGTAAGAAGATAAGCAGGAGCAAAAATAGTCCAAGGTAAAATTCAGCAAAGTCCATAAAAACAAAGTCCACACTTCTCTAATATAATTCAGGAAACCAGGAAATATTAATCCAAGGCATGAATAGGCATTCATACAATCCAAGAATCCGAATCATGAAACAAGAAATTCTTAGATAATCTTCCCAGCAAGGCTTCCATGAACAAAAACGAGAACTTCCCTTGATACCAAATGATGCTTCATCTGACTATATTTCCCACACCTGGAACTTTGATTATCCCCTCGTTAAGCTATCCCCAGCACTCAGAAATTGGTTTCGCTTTAATTGAGATTCCCTTATCTTTTTCTGTCGAATTCTGGCAGACCACCGAAGCCACTGTTCAGTCTACCTGTTTTGACTAATCTCCTGCATCCTATTTATTTGCTCATTAAGTTTCCCAGCTGGTCCAGGTGCCCAGATGTTTTCAAGCCCCAAATCCTGGGAACTCCTTGGTAACAATTCAGGGAGTATACCATCATCCCCACACCCTTCAGGGACATTCTCATGGGAAACTACACTTTGCACAGGGGTCTCCTGGTCCTTCTCTGCATCAGTATCATTGACCAAACCATTGCCATCTTGAAATTCATTGGCATCACTTCCCACATCCAAAGCACCCTGATGCTGAAACACAATCACAGGCTGAACTCCAGAAGTCCCTATCTGGACACCATGCAGGCCTGATCTGGCACCTGGAACACCAGATTGGGCCACATAAGTGGTCAGTGTAGAAGGGTCAATCGTAGTCTAAAGTCTTCACCCAAGCCAAAATGCCTAAGTAACTAACGGCTCAAATCTGATCCATTTCAAGGGCCTCTTGACCTATAAACAAACATTCTGTAGCACAAACGATACATCCAGCAAGACCTTAATTTAATATCAATCAAGACTGCAAAGCTCTAGGCCTTAATTCAATGAAGAGGGAGTCAATTAGGAAGTGATATAAGATTTCGTTTTGGCTGCTGGCTTTGTTGGAACATGTTTTCTCCTAATGATCTGCCTTGGATCCTGCTATTCCAGTCTAACTAAACCAACTCTCTCATCTCCTGGCTGCTCCTATCTCTTTAACCTTATAAAGTTGCTTTTCCCCATCCTGAGAATCTCATCTTGCCTGTGGGTTTTTAACCTGTAGTCAAGACATAACAATGTCATGTAATACTATCATGTTATGGAAAAAACATTCTCTCTGGCACTATAAGTTTCCATGTACATGATGTAAGACGTCTTTCACAAGTCAAAGGTGGAGGAGGATGCAAAATCGTGATTCCATCTACTGTCTGAATAATATGGGCTATGAAGGACCATATTTTTTCCTATTTATGTTTCAAATCGGAATGTAAAGAGAGCAGTTCCAGGTAGTTAGAAGCATGTCTAAAAATGGGCTGCCTGGAAATGAGACTTTAATAAATTACATGCTTTAACAATTTTTTGATAGAGATTACAAGGGATGTCACCAAGATGTCCTTTATGTTTGACAGCCATAGTTACATCTTGTGGCACTAAATGCCACAGGTTAACTGTACACTCTGTGAAAAAGTAACGTATATGCTCGAGTATAAGCCGACCCGAATATAAGCCAAGGCACCTAATTTTACCACAAAAAACTGAGAAAATGTATTGACTTGAGTATAAGCCGAGGGTGGGAAATGCAGCAGCTACTGGTAAATTTCAAAATAAAAATAGATACCAATAAAATTATATTAATTTAGGCATCAGTAGGTTAAATGTTTTTGAATATTTACATAAAACTGTAATTCAAGATAAGACTGTCCAACTCTGATTAAACCATTATTCTAACCTTCTTCAATGTAAATATGCTTACATGTCCTCCAATAATAATAAATAGAGTAAAATAATAATAATAGAGTAAAATAATAAATGTAATAATAACAATAATAGAGTAAAATAGTAAATGTAATAATAACAACAATAAAATAATAAATGTAATAATAATAATAACAACAACAAAGTAAATTAACAAATAATATTGACTTGAGTAGAAGCCGGGGGAGACCTTTTCAGCCTAAAAAAGGGACTGAAAAACTAGGCTTATACTTGAGTATATACAGTACTTCCTTTTCTCTGCCCTGAGTCTCCTACCATTTGGTTCCATGGCTGATCTAGAGGAGCCCCCGGTGGCGCAGTTGGTTAAACTGCTGAACTTACTGATCGAAAGGTTGCGGCTTCGAATCCAGGGAGCGAAGTGATCTCCCGCTGTTAACCCCAGCCTCTGCCAACCTAGCAGTTCGAAAACATGCAAATGTGAGTAGATCAATAGGTACCACTCCAGTGGAAAGGAAACGGTGCTCCATGCAGTCATGCTGGCCACATGACCTTGGAGGTGTCTACGGACAACACTGGCTCTTCAGCTTAGAAATGGAGATGAGCACCAATCCCCAGAGTCAGACATAACTGGACTTAATGTCAGGGGAAAACCTTTTAACCGGAGTCTCCTACCATTTGGTTCCATGGCCGATCCAGAGAAAATGAGAACTTGTGTCTTACCTACTTGCTCTACCTCATGCTTAGCTTTATTCACTCCTATCGTAACCCCCTTCTTACCTTGTTTTCTAAAATAAACAGCCCCAGCATATTTAACCTTTCTGCACAGAGGATTTTCACGAGGCCCTTGATTATTCTAGATGTTTAGTTCTACGCTTTTCCATCTCCGCAGTGTCCTTTTTTAGGTTCACTGAACAGAACAGTACACGGTATTCCAGATGTGGTTGCATCATGAATTTGTACAATTGCTGTTTAGTTTCATTTTCAGTTCCCTCTGATGCCAAAAAAGGAGTTCACATTTTTAAAGCCAAAGACTGCATCGAAACTTTCATTATATTATAGGAGAGCTGAATTTGTGAATCTGTTTCAAAATTCTTTTCACGAGACTTACTTACTTACTTACTTACTTAAGCGAGCCCTTGTTGGCCGAGTAGGTTAGTCCTCCAGGATCAGTATTCTGGTGGGTCCGTAGGTGACTGTGGAGCCCTATTCTTGATCTGCATCTTCTTCCTCAGTGAGGGCATTCGTTTCCAGGTGGAAGGCAGTCTCCATCGGGGTTGGCTTGACGCGCCTTCCTCTTGGCACGTTTCTCTCTTTCACCCTCCATTCGTGCCTCTTCAAATTATGCAGCACTGCTGGTCACAGCTGACCTCCATTTCCACTGTCTCCATCATAGAACAGAATTTAGAGCTACTTGTCTTAAGTTGTCATATGTAAGATCCAAAATAGTGACTGTCTTTCATGGGAGGTTTGTAGACTACTACATAGAAGACATACAATACTCAAGTTATTATTTTCCTCCAGTCTATTCTCCCTCACCTTCTTCTTCCTCAGTTCAGCAAATGTGTCTCTGTGTTATTTTCAGGTTGTGAATCGGCCCTTGATCTGACATTTCAGAAGGCTGTGCCCATAGTGGATGACATCTTTAAGGTCCTCAGGGATGTTACGAGAATGCGGACACATATGAAACAGTTTAATTCTGTACATACTCCAGGAAGCCATACCCAACAGGCAAGTCAATATGGATTTTTCTTATTAGTGTGCTGCATTTTATTAAATCATGTTTAGTGATTGATTTTATAATGTTGTAATGTAAATACATTTTGCTCCTTTATATAGATGTGCTCGTAAAGTAAGCCTTGCCTTCAGATATTCTTGGAAGTAAATAATTAATCTGAAATATGCTGAATAATGGCAGCTGTGAGGTGGCCATCTGCCTAGTATTGCTATCAATCTACCCCTCTTCCCCCAAAACCCCACATAGTAAATTGCTAGAAACTTATCAACCACTTCCAGAAAGGCCACTTTTAAGATAGTGAAGAAAGCAAGTGATACCCAGACTCTGGTCCTCCAGGTGTTTTGGACTACAACTCCCAACAGCCTCAGCCACTTTGGCCAATGGTCAGAGATTCTGACAGATGAAACCCGAAAGACCAGAATTTGGGAATCACTGGTCCAATTCATCAAAACAGTTCCTGAAGCCCATTGAATCTAACATTTTGTCATTAACAGCAGCCAATGAGATGTCCCAAGCAAGTCCGAGTAAGGAGAAAAAGAAAATACAAGGAACAGAATCAGACTATCTTCATGATCACACAAATGGAAAAAACAGCTAAAATAGAATTACAACTGTTCCCGGAGAGAAGGGGGAGGGGGAGGAGGGAAAAAAGGGGGATAGATATAAATAGGAAACTAGAATGAGATTAGAAAAGAGTAGAAAATACATACCAAAAGGGAATGTACATTTTTCTTCTTGTATTGGTTGAGTTTCTTTCTTTTATACTTCTGTAATGTAATGTACTTTTGTAATGTAATGGCGATAAGTTATACCCTGCTTATACAAATTAATTTTTTGAAAAGATGTCCCAGTCAAGTTGTCTTTGATGAAAATACAATTGTTTATATATTTTATGTTCCTTCTAATTCTTGTCATGAATAGCTATTAATTTTTCTAACCTTTCTACACTGGTGGATACAGGAAGGGAGATGGATAGTTCTGTAGCACACCAAATTTGATATATTGATATGTTCTCATACAGAAAAAATGTATAGCTAATATCTGTTCCGTCTCTCTCCCTCCCCCAATTAAATCTGGATAGCATGTCTTTTTTTTTGTGACTGCATAGAATTTATTTTTTCATCGTGTCAGATCAAATCAAATCATTTATTTCGTTCATAGACCAACATAGGAAATAAAAGTCACAGTTTTATACGAACTTCATACGTTTAGTACATTTAAAATGTAAATATAATACTGAAGCACAATAGGGGTGAGAGAGCAGAAGGGGAAACAGGGCAAAAACATAAAATTCAGCAAATTATAGAATCAAGGAAGATAATTACTGGATACACAGTTAACTTTTGGGGCCAGTAATCCCCTTATTGTTTCAGAAGCAGACTGAGGGTACAGTTATAATGTATTTAAGAAGACACAAACAAAGTTAAGTGACTGTATAAAAGACTTATATTTATCATTATTTATTTATTTATTTATTTATTTTAATCCCGTTTTTCTCCCACAGGCGGGACTCAAAGCGGTGAACAAATAGTTAAAATAAAAATTAAATAATACAAGAGCACAACATCATACCCCCAACCCAAGCAAATAAACAATAAAACTGCACATTGCATAAACACATTACATAAACCATATAAAATAAGCATAAGAAATAACAGCATTTATCATTATCATTTAAAAAATACCTGTGCCTCAGGTCACTGAGGTTGTCCTTAAAACACTGTAATAAACATTTTCAAAGCTCCAAATCTTTGACAACACAGACATGGGGAAATTTTAAGATTATAATTGCGTTAGAAAAATCATTTTTCTCAGAATTGTTTTATTTGAGTGCTTCCATGCTCATTCGGTTTCTTTTTTTTATCTGAGTTAAATGGCACTTCCATTTATCATTTGCACAGCACAACTCCTCAATTTGTTTTCTAAGAAAACCGAAGATTGACATTCCTAGAAGAGAGGTTTTATTAAATATTTTTTGCCACAAATGGAACATGTACATTGTAATACTTACTATTGAAATGCTTGTCATTCATTATTATTGCCTGCAGTAATGATAGGCAAGATGAAGAAAATGTTGTTATTGAAAGAAGCTAGAATTTTCACATAAAGCAGTGCTTCTTATATTATCTGATCTCTAGGACTGGCATTTCTTCCCCTAATGTTCTAGGTAGCGTTATCATACTTGTGCCCATTGACTACAATTGCTTCTTTCTCTTTTTTCATGGAAATTCTCCATGGACTGGACAGTTCTGATGAATCAAAAGAGCTGCATCAATTTCCTTTCTAGCTGAATGGTGCTCACTCCCCTCATCACAAATTGTGGAGGTGATATAGGTGCTTTTGTGGTTGTCACTAATGTCCGTTTGTCAAAGTCTGATCGACCTCAAAGTTACTGTCTGATGATGGGGTTATATTTGTTCTCTTTACCACAGAGACATTTGTCCATCAGTGTTTAATCCCTGCCTCCAAAGTTATGATTGTAAAGTTGCGCAAGCCTGGGAGCAAGTAACCCGTGGTGTTTCTCAGGGCAGATAAGTTTTGGCAGTGACATAGAGATAAAAAATAAGAATTTTCATATTCAGTTTTCTGTACAGTTCTCTTTTATTTTACAGTTTTCAAATTTAATCAAATTTCGTTTAACTTGAAATAAGTGAGTTTATATTTTCTGATAAGTTCAGTATTTGCATTTTTGTGAAGTAGAAATGAACCCAGCGCCCCTGGTGACGCAGTGGGTTAAACTGCTGAGCTGCTGAACTTGCTGACCAAAAGGTTGGTGGTTCGAATCCAGGGAGTGGGGTGAGCTCCCGTTATTAGGCACAGTTTCTGCCAACCTAGCAGTTTGTAAACATGCAAATGTGAGTAGATTGGCAGGAAAGTAATGGCACTGCATGCAGTCATGCTGGCCACATGACCTTGGAGGTGTCTATGGACAACGCTGACTCTTCGGCTTTGAAATGGGTAGGAGCACCAACTCCCAGAGTCGGACACGACTAGACTTAATGTCAGAGGAAACCTTTACCCTACCCTTTAGAAATAAACCCACTGACTTATGTTTATACAGTCTAGTTTTACATATTAAATAGCCAAGAAATTTCCAGATGTTTATTTATTTATTTATTTACAGGATTTGTATACCGCTTTTCTCACCCAGTTTACGCATAAGTAATGGCAAAAATTCAATGCCAGTACAAACAATTACAATTATACACTACAATTAGACAGATATTAAATTAAAAAATACATCCATGAGCAATAAAACAATCATTAAAACAATAAAACAGTCTCATCCGTCGAATCGCCGTTCCAGTCATTGCCTTTCCGAAATGCTGCATACATTTACTTCTACTACCCATACTAGACTGAAGTGGAATGAAAGGACGAAGGAGATGTGCCTCAACTTATTAAGCTCTAACGAAGTGATGTCCATGGAAGCTAGGATTACCGAAAGCTCAGATTGCGAGGAGGCAATCATTGGGTATGAATCCCTTGTCAAATCTATCTCTTCGAAACTATATGACTGGCAAAGAACTCTGAAGCAACCTACCGCCAAACCAAAAAACTGGTTCGACAAAGAGTGCATAATGATAAATAAACAGATTCGCTCACTTTACAATGGCTATCGCACTACTTCAAACACCCTCCTTCTTATAACAATTAGAGAGTCTAAGCAACAGCTCCAGCTCCTTATGGGCCAAAAACATAAGGCACGCATCATAGCTGACTGGAAGCAGCTGCTGGAGGCATCACAATCAAATGACACCAAGAAATTCTGGTCAATAGTAAACAAAACAAACTACCCCCAGGAACCACCCAGAGCAGATATCTCCCTAGAGAGATGGGCCGAGCACTTCTCGAAAGTGTTCGCTGGAATAAACCCTCCCCAAGAAAACGAGGACAGTGGAGAGCTAGTGGGTCCAAGCTGGGAGCCGGTTACATCTCAGGAAATCATCGACTTGATACACAACCTAAAGACAAATAAGGCCCCAGGTAGCGATGCCATTATCCCTGAAATACTGAAGGCAAACCCACTGTGGTGGGCAAATCTACTAGCAAACCTCTTCACAAGGATCAACGAAACGGGGTACATGCCAAAGGCATGGACCTCCTCTATAATGGTCCCAATATTCAAAAAAGGAGACCAAAATGATCCAACGAACTATCGGCCCATTAGCCTGCTCTCCATAATAGGGAAGATGTATGCCAAGCTCCTGAAAACTAAGCTAGAATCATGGGTCAACCAAAACAACATAATTGGCCCAGAACAAGCAGGATTCTCTAAGGGGAAATCAACATTAGACCAGACTCACATCTTGGCCCACCTAGCCAACAAATACTCAAAAAATTGCCCTAATAAGCTAAACGTTGCCTTTTTGGACCTGAAGGGGGCATTTGACTCTGTGAATAGAGAAAAGTTGTGGGAAAAACTAGCAGCCCTCAACATAGACCCAAGACTCCTCTTCTTGATTAAGAAATTGCACAACCAAAACCTCTGCCAGGTGAAAGACCACAGGGGATGCCTGTCAAACCCGATCCTGGTTCAAAAGGGAGTCAAACAAGGGTGCGTACTAGCCCCACTCCTCTTCAACATCTTTTTGCACGATCTCCCTACAGCCCTGGCTCAAGTTGACGGGCATAGCCCCAAGATTGGCCCAAAGCATGTCCCCCTTTTGCTATTTGCGGATGATGCAGCCCTATTATCCCTCTCTCATGTGGGTTTAAAAAGACTCCTGCATAAATTTGTTGATTTTTGCGAGGCGAACGAACTGCAGGTGAACTACGATAAAACCAAAATCTTGGCGTTTGGGAAAAGCAACAAAAGACAAGTCTGGAAGATAAAGGGCCACTATATTGAGCAAGTAAAACATTTCAAATACCTAGGTCTCTGGTTTAGCAACAACTTGTCATGGTCCACCCACTTAAAATATACACTGGCCCGGGCCAAATCGAGTGGCAGTGCAACCAGGAGGTTCTTCCACTCCAGGGGTAATCAATATATCCCCCTAGCTCTGCAAGTCTTCAAAGCAAAGGCGATGTCACAACTTCTCTATGGAGCACCCATCTGGTTAACCCCCAATAACAGCGCCATCAGATCTTTTCATTCGAAATTCCTCCACAAACTATATGGTGCCCCCAACTGTGTCCCGTATGCAGTTCTCTGTCTTGAATCTGGGCAATATTCTATTGAGGCTACTATCTGGCTAATCGTCATCAAATTTTGGCTATCTATACACTATCAAAGTCCCAGCGACTCTCTGACTCAACTCACCTTGAGCGAACTCCACCACTCCAAATGGTGCTCAACTGTCCTAGCAAAGATCGGGGAATTGGGCTACGACAGCGATTTCCTGACTCTACTATCTTTTACCGAGATTTTTACCCTCATCAAAAGGAGGCTGCTAGAAAGGGACCACAACCAATTGTTGAGCTTGGCAAACAAATCCTGCTCACCTATTAACTTGGCAATCCCATACACACAGGGAAATCCAGCCTTTTACATCACGGAGCTCACCAACCCCTCTTACAGAAGAGCCTACATGCTGGCTAGATTTAACATCATGCCATCGCCGCTCCATAGAGGAAGACTCAATGGCCTCCCGAGCGACAAGAGGGTCTGCCTCTGCAGCACAGGACAGCTAGACTCCATACCGCATATTCTCCTGCACTGTCCACTCTACCAGGAGCTAAGATCCAGCCTGCTAACACAAGCTATAGATTCACTGAAGAACCGCAGTGATTCTGACAAAGTGATTTTGCTTTTAAATTGCCAGGACTTTAGCTGCTGCCTTTCAGTGGCAAGATTCCTGAATGAAGTCTGCAAACTGAATGTGTAGCAAACGAGAAGCCCCTTTTTTTTTTTATTACGTGTACTATGTTTTATACTCTCTGCCATGTTATGCCAATAAAGGCTTATTGTATTGTTGTACTTCTACTACCCAAAGGCCTGGTCCCAAAACCATGATTTTAATTTTTTTTTCTAAAAGCCAGGAGGGAGGGAGTGGATCTTACCTCATTTGGGAGTGTGTTCCATAGGCAGGGGGCCAGAGCCGAGAAGGCACTGTCTCTCGTCCCCACCAGGTGCATCTGTGCTGTTGATGGGAGAGCAGGGCCTCCCGGGATTATCTTAGATTATGAGGTACGACATAGGGGTAGATGCGTTCGGACAAGTAAGCTGGGCCAGAACCGTATAGAGCTTTATAGGTCAAAACCAGCACTTTGAATTGGGCTCGGAGATGGACCGGCAGCCAGTGGAGCTGACATAGCAGGGGGTGGTATATGCAAGCAGTCCCTAAGTTATAAACAAGATTGATTCTGTAGGTTTGTTCTTAAGTTGAATTTGTTTATAAGTCGAAACAGGGAGAAAAATTTAAGAATCAAAACACTCACCAATAATTTCTGTTAAGATTCTCTAACATTCGGAAGCCTCCTAAAGTCAGTTTAATTTTCAGTATACACATTAAGCAACTTTGGGAAAGCCAAAGAGGCCATTGCTAGTGTTTAAATTAAGACTCTGGCTGCCATAAGAAAGGGCAGCAGGGGCGGGACTAGCTGAGCTGAGCTGGAGACCGTGACCACAGCATTCTGAGAAATGTAGTTTGGGAAGGCAAGGCCCCCTGTGGCAAATAATCCAAAAGGCCCTGCCCTAAACTACATTTCCCAGAATGCAGTGCTCAGCATCGGAAAGCCTCAATGTGGGCTGCAGCAGCCGGCCATTTAGTCACTCTAATAATAATAAATAAAATTATTGAATCTACAAAGAAGACTAAAGTAAGTAAGTAATAGTATAAATCTGTGCTAAGGTGAAGTTCTGTGGTTAATTGTGTGTCATATAGACATGATGGTAGAGTTAGACATTCAAGGGGATAGCTGCTGTGGCTTTTGAGGGATAAATATTTTTGTCTAAACTTTTAAAAATCCCCGAAAATCAGTAGATGTGTGAATCTTTCTGAAACTTGGGGAGATTGATGTCCTGGTTATCTTGTGCATTGGATATAAAATTCAAGTAGATGTCTCTTGTATTTTTTAAAAAAATACAGTCCCTCCCACAACTGCAAACAACATAGAGTTAAGGGAAAACTGCATATCAATATATACGTACAATATAGTAAGCAATCACAGTATCGGAGGCTTGTAGAAGGTTGCTATTTCCAACAATTTATTACCAGTATATTCTTTTTTACAGGCCACATATAAACCATTGTTGAAGCAAGTGGTGGAAGAGATATATAATCCTGATCGACCAGACACTGTTGATATTGAACATATGTCTTCTGGGCTCACAGACCTTCTGAAAACAGGATTCAGCATGTTTATGAAGGTAAAGCTGCTAACCAAATATTAACAACTGCAAATTTAAAATACAGCCATTGTGGTAAAAAGAATGCATTCTGTTTGACCTAGAACATATGTATTTCACAGGAAATTCTACATTTTTATATGACACAGCAAAAAGGTTCATTGATAATATGTGTATCATAACAGTCCCCGGTGGCACAGTGGGTTAAATCCTTGTGCCAGCAGGACTAAAGACAGACAGTTCAGAGGTTCGAATCTAGGGAGAGCTCAGATGAGCTCCCTCTATCAACTCCAGCTCCCTATGCAGGGACATGAGAGAAGCCTCCCACAAGGATGGTAAAACATCAAAACATCCAGGCATCCCCTGGGCAATGTCCTTGCAGACGGCCAATTCTCTCACACCAGGAGTGACTTGCAGTTTTTCAAGTCGCTCCTGACACAACAAAAAAACAAACAGTCCTGCCTTATACTAACAGAGGGAATGGGAGAAGTTCCTTGTGAAGCAGCCCCCACATCCTGTCCCCTACTATTTCAATATGGATGAAGTGCAGATAAGACATAGTTCTCCTTTTCCTTCTTACTTATCACAATATTAGTGAATTAACTGTGAGTCTCACTCACTATTTTCACTATATTCCATGGAGCAACTTAGCAAATAGACTCTGGCGAAGCATTGAACTGCATTCTATAAGATCTTGGGAGACAGTCTCATTTGAAACATGTCAGAATTTAAGAGAACAAACATGTCAAATTCAGATTTCCAAATTCTGAAAGTTAGAAAAATATTGAGTAGAACATACACAAATACATTTGGAAGGCTGTTCATGATCTTGACCTTAAAATGAGGGTTGAAAGCTTTACGATAAATGTAGTAGAAGTCTCAATCTGAAGGTAATTTCCTGAGATCCGCTTTCCTAAGGGAAAATATTGATCATTCACATCCATCCAGCAGTGTCTGCCTTGTGTTTTAATTGAGTGTAATTTGCAGCTGTTTACCAGACTAATTCTTGTACCTTTTTCTTTTTAATGGATTCACTAACTCAAATAATTCTATATAAACTTGAATATGAATACTCATTGCTGAAGTTTTGATCCTGTTATGAAACTTGTTGGATTTGAAGTGAAATCCAAATCATTCAGCATCAGTCCAAACAGTCATCAAGACAGTTTTGCTTTCCTCCTCCCAACATAGTCAGCTCTCATATTTTGCAAGGGTTAGGGCATAGGATCCCCACAAAAGTGGGGAAAATGTGAATAAAGACACACTATTTTTTCCTATGAAAAAACTTTTCAAGGCATTGCTAGAGTCAAAAGTTGACCATAGACTTGCACCGGAGAATCTAGAAATACCCTTTTCCCCAATCATATGTAAGACAACAGTGGTGGTGGCAGCAAATAAAGTAATCCACAAACAATTCAGATCTGTGAGTGCTTAACCGGCAAATGTGAAGAATTGTGCATATATAAAGAATGTATACTTTCAAGATCAAATTGCTCTTTCATTCATTCAGCTGCTGCTGAAAACAGCTGGATTGCAATGGTATTTTTCTTCAGGCCCAGTTATGTAATAGACGTAAGATTTTATTTTATGTCAAAATTAAGGGGTAAGGAAGAAAATGGTGGAGGCCTGTGCAGAAAATTGGTCACCTTTTGTGTAATGTAAGGCTGACCCCATTTTTGGAGGTTCACTTTTGGGAGTGGGGGGGGTGGGGGGGGGGAGAAAATTCTTGAAATATTTTTTAGAAATTGCCACTGCATGCATTATAACTTATTTTTGTTTCAGTGTGGCTATATAGTACAGTCTTTCCTATAGAATGAGGAGGGAGTGTGAAAAAGCTAGAAATCATTTTGTCTGAGTCTTTTTAAATAAGTATATGGGCTGGTTGAGGAATCAGAGGAAGCAGGGAGTGGCACTTAGCTCAGCCAGATGATAAACAGCCACCTAACTGAGGCTGAGGACAAAATGGTGAAGGGTTGGAAAAGCCATTAGAGCTGGGGACCCTTCTCCTCCTCCCCACCTATTTTGCTTCAGCAGTAATTTTAAAAACCCAAAGCAGAGCTGTTTGTGATTGGGGCCCTTCCTCTTCTTCCTCCTCCCGCTCTCTTGGAGGTAAGACAGTTTTTTAAAAACCCCAAACCAGACCCATTTCGAACTAGGGGCCTTCCTTCTTCTCCTCCTCTCTTGGAAATAAGGTAGTTCTTTTAAAAAATGGCAAATCTAAGGCTATATCTACACTACCCTATATCCCGTGATCTGATCCCAGATTATCTGGCAGTGTAAACTCATAGAATCCAGTTCAAAGTCACCACTGATTCTAAGGCACAACCCGTTTTTGAAGCCCCCAAAACAGGGGGGAAAGTGCACCTTAGATTTGGTCAAATACATGTCACCCCAGTAGTATCAACAATCATTTACTGATCCAAAGAATACCCTAGATTTTTCATCACCATTTGTGGCAGGCATAGGCAAACTCAGGCCCATGGGCCAGACGCAGCCCTTTGGCATCTTCACTTCAGCCTCCGTCTGCCTCGGCCTTCCTCTCAGCATGCGGATGCAGCGGCCCGCCATGTCCCCAGGCTGAGAGGGGGACCAAAGCAGAAGTACTCGGCTGCAGCACATGTCTTCTCTTCCTCTGAACCCAGAGACTCCGGCCCCCGTTCCACAGACTCAGAGGAGAACTGGGGGGAGAAGCATGCCGCTAACTGAGAGCCCTCTTGCCAGCAACACGTTTCTCCTTCTCCTCTGAGCCTCAGGAAGCCAACCCGCCTTCTCCAGACTCAGGAGAACCAGGGGAGAAACAGACCACTGGCAAGAGCCTTCTTGCCAGCAGTGTGTTTCTCCTCCTCTGAGCCTCGGGTAGGTTTCTGAATCTGCCTTCCCCAGATTCAGAGGAGCACCAGGGGTGATATATGTCAATGGTGTGTTTCTCCTCCTCCCACCCTCCCCACCCACCATGACCCTGCTCTCTCCCACCCAGCATCACCTTCTCTTGTCCTGACCGTGCCTTCTCCCACCCCCAGCCCTTCCGGCCCCGCACAAACTCCCTCCTGGCCCAGCCCTTGTGGCCGGGCCCACAAGGTGGCCCCAGAACAAAAAGGTTTGTCCATGACAGCTTTATGTGATGAGAAACTTTGTCCCAAGATCTTGCGTAGTATCAGTCTGTTTCTATTACAGTTGCCTGTGTCTATTTCCACTATTACAAAGATAAAGCTCTTGATGTGCCGCCCATATTTTCCATTGGATATGTATACACTTTCCTCCTCTTTTGTTCTATCAGAATTTCTTCCATGAATAATGAATCTGCACATTTGTGGGAGCAATTAACAAACTCTATGAAGGTGACAGACAAGCAAATACTCATGTAACTCCCAAAGGACATCCCAAATTTCACTTTGGCAGCCACACTTCGGCCAGGAAGCAGAACTAGAGATATAGAAGTCAAAAAGGAGTCATTGGAAAAATTGTACATTGTAAACAGTGCCAATTGAAACCATACAAAATGTATTTAGGAAATCGTGAAACCACAAACACAAAGTCATAGACATTATCCAAGCGTAAAGAAATGTATATTATCCAAGGAGGCACCAACTGTCTGTTTTGGGGCAGGAAATCATACCTATAAACTTCAGAAATACTTCATAGTCACTTATTTCCAGGATAAAGTGGAACCATTGGTGAGAATCCTTTGGGTTCATTCACTTAACCAATGACAGATTCACTTAATAGTAGCATTGCCTAGCCCATATTTGACTAGTTTTCTTTTAAGAAGGTCATGGGGGACCTTGTTGAAGGCCTTGCTGGAATCAAGATATGATACATCCACAGCATTCCCTGCATCTACCAAGCTTGTAACTCTATCAAAAAAGAGATAAGATTAGTCTGATTTTTGTTTTTGAGAAATCCATGCTGACTTTTAGTGGTCACAGCATTTTTTTTCTAAGTGATTGCAGACTACCTCTTTAATGATCTGCTCCAGAAACTTTTCCTGGTATTGATGTTAAGCTGACTGGACGGTAATTTTTTTGGGTCCTCTTTTTTTGAAAACGAATCTTCTTACAGCATCTAACTAGATATTTTTATAGACAGATCTGCCAAAACAGTGTGATCAATGAAAGAGAGTGATTGTGTCCTTAAAAGGTGCTTCAAGCTCATCACACCATGCTACCAACATTTCTTTGAGATTTCCCACTGTGATAAAACCCCAAAGGCTTTGAACCACTCACAAAATGTCACTTTGTGCTAAGAAGGTGCATTGGTGCTGGAAAAAGTAGTTATTTGGTCTCATTGCTGCCTCAATAAAGGAGCACATTCTGTATTAGATAGGAAATGTCTCTGACTTCTCTATAATTAATTGGAATCCATTCGCTCCTGGGGCAGATTCCCTAATATATCCTCCTCCAACAACAACAACAACAACAACAACGTTACTTTGCTTCTAATGCTACTGAATCAAGGCCATTTCTATCTCACCCTCATGGACATCATGGATAAATAGGAAAGGAAACAGTTGTCATTACTTTATCTGCTCTCCTGCCACTGCAGTCATTATCAATGCCAGCCATCTTTGGTCAAGAGATTAATGTGAAATGAAAGCTCAGCAGAGAACACAGATAGAGTTACTCACTAGTTGCTGATGTAGCTCAAAAGGTTAATCGTTTGGCTGAATCGGACAAACTTGCCATATGAATGTTGAGGTAACCTTAGTGGCAACATGCAATACTGCCTCTCTATTCATGAAGTTTTCTGTTAACACAGAGTTTTGAGAACTAAACTCATGGTGAATAATTTGTATATATTACCTTGGAAAGGAATGTGTTTTTAAAAACTCTCAACAATGTTTTGGTTCTTGAAAATTAAAAACTATAGGATTTGAAGGTCTACTACTGACCTAATATGAGAATGGGCAGCTGTGACATAATCATATGCCTATCAAAGAAATAATGCTGTGGTTCAAACTTCAGTTCCTATATATTATAAGATTGGAGACTCCCATAGTATTTGACCATTTCCTCTATCCTGTT